GGGATATGTCAACTGTGTTTGTGAATGCTTGCATGTACACATGCTCATATACAATGTTGGGCAGGAGGAAAAATAACAAACCTTGCCTGCTCTGTTATAGCTCCCTTCTTGTTGGGAGAACATACTAGTGTCTGTCCATCCATCATCCCAGATGGCACTGACTGTATCCTGTTGGAATTTGGTAGGATGAAGATCAAACAAGTCTGATGTTGAGGAAGGCTTTCTGGGGCAGGCTTCTAGAGGGAGCTCTAGTGAACACTGAAGTCGAAACTTCAGAAAGCAAAGTAACTGGATTTTCTTTTGTTTTCCCCCAGATCCAGCTCTAATCTATGATAAGTGTGTGGAAGAGGAGGATGGCTTTGAGGGTGCCTTGGACCTCTTTCCTCCTGGTTACAGCTCTAAGGCCCTGGAGCCCCAGCTGTCAGGTGACCCTTTACCTACCAGTATTTGGGCTTCTCTAGGTGAAGGGTGGGAGATTGTCTTTGTGCTAGGACTGTCCTGTTTCAAGGCAGGATATCAAGAGTAAGAACTGTGGGCCATTGCAATAGCCAGTAGGGGACTGTTGGTTGCTGTTCTTCCCAGGTAAGATGCTGGTCCTGGATTATATTCTGGCAGTGACCCGAAGCCGAAGCAGTGACAAAGTAGTGCTGGTGTCGAATTACACCCAGACTTTGGATCTCTTTGAGAAGCTGTGCCGGGCCCGAAGGTAGGGAAGAGTCTAACCAGATGCCAAAGGGGGATGTACCCCTCCCCTACTTCCCCTCTAGTTCTGATTTGTGGATGTGGGCCAAGATGTGGGCACATAAAGGATTTCCCTGAAGATATCTTCCCTTATTGCTGCGATGGCCCCAGATCTCTCTCCAAGTACAAGATCCCTGAGTCCCTCAGGTATTCCTTTAGGACACATTCCTTGTCTCTAGTTCCCTGTCCCTGCCTTTGGGAGTTTAGAGCCTTAAGCAGTCCCTATAGTAGCTCTGGCTCCAAGGGGCTCTGCTTTCTTCTTGGGTCTTTTAAAAAAATTTTTCATTTAAAAATTTTTTTTCCCCTAATCACTGAAGCTTTATTTTCTTGGGTCTCGGATCCCCCTTCAGGTACTTATATGTCCGCCTGGATGGCACGATGTCCATTAAGAAGCGAGCCAAGGTTGTAGAACGCTTCAATAGTCCATCGGTAAATGCACATCAGCTGTCCCCACATCACCGATGCAGTATCATCAGAATTAAGGATTGATAGAGAAGCTATAAGGGGTTACCTTGACTCCGCACCCCACCCCCCGCCCCGCTGTCCCCCAGTGGATATAGTAGGGTTTGGCTGGTTGGTGATGGGCTGGGCTGGAAACTGACTTTGTGGGTTCGGAAATTGGCTGGTGAGCAGACAAACTGGTGGTTTTCACAATTGGTACTGAGTAGTATAGAGGCATTGAGAGGAGTTGGTTGGGCTGAGCAGGATCCCAGTTTAGGCTATAAGAGGTTCCTTTTCTCCTGTTTCCTCTCTTTCCAGAGCCCCGACTTTGTCTTCATGCTGAGCAGCAAAGCTGGGGGCTGTGGCCTCAATCTCATTGGGGCTAACCGGCTGGTCATGTTTGACCCTGACTGGAACCCAGCCAATGATGAACAAGCCATGGCCCGGGTCTGGCGAGACGGTCAAAAGAAGACTTGCTATATCTACCGCCTACTGTCTGTAAGGATAGTGATAGTAGTCATAGTAGGGGTGGGTCATGGAACAAGACCTTCAGGACCATCTTGTTTCTTAGTGCCTCTCTTTGGCCTTTCTGCCTCTAGCAGTAGCCAAGCGATGGGCCCAGAAGTGAATCTTTTATTCTTCTGTTCTCCCTCCCCTTCTCTGCACCCCATTCCCTCAAATCATTCTTACTGTGCCATCTGGACACGTGTTCAGTACATCCTTTTCACAGCATACCTGCTTCCGTCATACCTGATTTCTGCTGTGTCACTGGCCTTGTAGTCTTCTCTCATCCCCTGTCCTATTTGCATTCTCCAAGTTATCAATTATCTACTTCAGACCATCCATCCCACAGTTCCTCTCTTTAAGCTTATATCGTTGAACTTGACTACCCTCTTTTCTTCCTTGCTGCAATTCTCTATCCTCTGCTATATTCCTAATTCATTGATGACTTTGGACACCAGCTCAGCCTTCATTCCTTTCCCAAATCCAGCAATCATACTGGCTGATGTCAAGGACCATGTGGTTATCCAGCACTCTGACCTTCATATTTCCCTGACCTCATCTCAACTCCTCTGCATCTAATTATTCCTAAGGTCACACTGTGGAACTTGTTAGTACCCAAAACTTTAATAACTGTCATTCTACTCTGACTTCTTGTCCTCCTAGTTTCTACATACCTGCTGTATCTGCTTCAGCCTAATATTCCTGCAGTCTCTCCCCTTCCAACTCTCCCACTCATCTGGCTTGACTTCCTTCTTTATTTAGCCCAGCCCTTACTGTGCATCCTTTCAGCTACTCTTTTCCCAGTACCTGTTCCAGTTGGATTATTTGAGCTGTTTTCAGCTTCTACACCTGCTACTTTGCTTTTACAGGTTGGTACTACCATAAATTCATGTTGTCTTTTTTGAGGTGGCCATATTTCATTTCCTTTGACCATTTCAACATCTACCGTTTCTCTCAAATTTCCTACCTTCTTTCTGCTCATTTGTCAGACTTCTTATACCACTGAACCTACCTTCAAATATACTACTGACTTCCTAATTGCCAAAACAGGAGACTATTGACGTTTCCTTTGTGTATCTCACACTGTTGACTAATAATCCCTTAAAATGCTCTTCTATGACGGGTGCAGGAGGATCACTTGAAGCCAGGAGTTCAAGGCTGTAGTGAGTTAGGATTGTGCCACTCTAGCCTGGGTGACAGAACAGGATCCTGTCTCAAAAAAAAAAAAATTTTTTTTCTCTTGTCTTTGGAAACTCTACTTCGATTCTTCCACCTCTGATTGTACACACTTTTTATACTGGCAAATCTCTAACTATAAAATTTTAACCCAGATCTCTTACCTGAGCTCTAAACCTCTATTTCTATCACTTAATCTACATTTTCACTTAGATTTCTAATGGGCACTTTAGAAGCATTATGACTAAACTCATTCCCCTTCTGATTGATTGAGACAGTTTCGTTCTGTTACCTAAGCTGGAGTACAGAGGCATGATCACGGCTCACTGCAGTTTCAAGCTCCCACCTCAGCCCCCTGAATAGCTGGGGCTACAGATGTGTGCCTCCATACCTGGATAATTTTTTTATTTTTTGTAGAGACGGAGTTCTGTTATGTTGCCTAGGCTGATCTTGAACATCTGGACTCAAGCGATCCTCCCATTTTGGTCTTCCCAAGTGCTGGGATTAAAGGCATGAGCCACCACACCTGGCTCCACTATCCACCAAACCTAAAACTGGGAATAATCTTACTGGACTATTCTTTTCTCCTAACAACCAAATTCCCACCGGTTTTCACTGATTTTTAAATTCTTGAAATTTCCTTAATCTAACCCTGCTTTTCATGCCCTCCTGAGGTCATGGTCATCTGTCACTTGGATATTGCAGCAGCTTCCTAATTGTTTACTTCTGTCTTATCCCAACCCATCATTCACATACTGCTTCCAGAGGAGCTTTCCAAAAATTTTGATTTTACTTTTCATTACTTCAAAGACAAGACCAAGGCCTTCAGCATGGCATCCAAGGTTTTTTAATGTGACCTCTGCTGATTGCTCAGTCTCAGCTCTTACCATATTCCCACCAACTTCTAGTTAGTCTGAACTCCTCACAGTCCTCCAATAGGCCAGTAGTATTCCTTCGTTCCTGTGCTGGGGATGCCTTCCCTTATGTCTTTTCTTACAAACCATCTATTCATTTTCAACATTACGCTCAAGGATGGAGTTTCAAGTTTTCAAGACTGTTCTACTCTACCATCCTTATGGGCTCCTAGTTATCCTGTACAGATTTCTATCATTGTATCAACTGTTTAAATGTATCTTTCTCACTATTCTGGGAGCTCAAGGATAGGGGATATATATGATTCTTCTTTGTATCCTAATGTCAGCATAAGGTCTGGCATAGAAGATACCCAAATGGTATTAATTGAATGAATTAAGAGTTGGGCTTGGTATGGAAATCTGAAGCTGCAGCAGACAAACCTCAATTTACCCTGAAGGGATTTAGCCAGGCCCTGGGACCCTTCATTAATACAGAAAATAGCGTGGGTGGGCAGACCATTCGTAAGTCATGTTCTCAGAAGACAGACTGGGAAAATGGGCCTCAGCTGGGTAGAGATAATGTTCCAGGACTCATACTTTTTATTTATCTCCCCTTCTCTTGGGTAGCTGTAGTTTCAACCCCTTGGTTTTACTGTACACTTTTTATGGCTAAGCGCAGTATCCCTCGATATTCCCCACCCCCTCTTCCCCAGGCAGGCACCATTGAGGAGAAGATCTTCCAGCGTCAGAGCCACAAGAAGGCACTGAGCAGCTGCGTGGTGGATGAGGAGCAGGACGTAGAGCGCCACTTCTCTCTGGGCGAGTTGAAGGAGCTATTTATCTTGGATGAAGCTAGCCTCAGTGACACACATGACAGGTGGGGAACCGTTACTAAGCTACCCACACAGCAGGGAGATGGGATCTGTAATGACTTCAGCTGTGTCTTCTGCCCCTAGGTTGCACTGCCGACGCTGTGTCAACAGCCGCCAGATTCGGCCACCCCCTGATGGTTCTGACTGCACTTCAGACCTAGCTCAGTGGAACCACTGCACTGATAAGCGGGGGCTCCAGGATGAGGTACTCCAGGCTGCCTGGGATGCTGCCTCCACTGCCATCACCTTCGTCTTCCACCAGCGTTCTCATGAGGAGCAACAGGGGCTCCGCTGATAACGAGCTGGTCTGGGTGTAGCTCTTAGAGGAAGGAGATAGGGAAAAGGGGCTCCTTGCCCCAAAGGGCCCTGTTGAATTTTGTTCTCTGGGAGAAAATCATCAAGAAGGGCTGCATGATGTTTGCCCAAAATTTATTTTATAAGAAAAACTTTTTTTGGTTAAAAAAAAAAGAATAAAGGTATGAAAGGGTTTGAGGCCTGAGAGCAGTGTGATAAGCCCAGCAGGGAAGAGGCCCCTTATACTTCTCTAAAGCCTGGGTGCCTGCATGAGGAGGGAAAGCAGGAACCCAGGGTCAGGGGAACGGATTTCTTCAGCAATGATGATGACCACTGTAACCTCCTGGCCCAGGGTTCCCAGGATACTGAGTAAGGGGCCCAAAGGCTCTAAACTCAGCTGTGAGAATGCCTCTTGGCTGGGCCTCATCAAGGCCTCCAGGACCTCAGTGCAAGGGAAGACAGAAAAAAAGAGAAAAAGGGTGACAGAGAAATACAGAACTGGTGCTTGGGATCTGGGCAGCCCATGCTTCAGCCCCTGCAAGCTGATGGTACCGAGCATGAGCCTGTGAGGTACGGGCCCCGTCACATGGTGCTAACATAATCTGCGAAGGCCTGGGATGAGTCCCATGAGTCGCTAACCACATGGCAGGTAGCCCGGAGCCGCCGGATAGCTTCCCTGGCTGTGACTGCATCCTGGTCCAGCCAGTTCTGGAAGAGGCGCAGGTGACCAAAGGCTCCACGGCCCCAGCGCTCCAGCCGCTTGGCGAACTCCAGAAGCCCATCAGGCTTGATGCAGTTGGAACTGGTAGGGTGAGATGGATTAGAAATCCAGGAAGCAGCAAATTCCTGGTCTGTATCTCTGTAGCCCCATCCCTTGTCTTGCCCCTCCCCTCATGTACCTGATGTCCAGCTGACAGAGAGAGGAGGATGAATCCTCTGAGAAAACATCTGCCAGGGCCAGCAGGCCAGCGTTCCCTGTAGAGAAGGGGAGAAGTGCCTGTCACCTCCACCCAAGAACAGGGAACAAGGGTATCCCAACCCAACTTTGGGGAGAAGCCCAGCCCTGCTGGTTCCTGAAGCTCCAGCACAGAAATATCTGTATTCCAACTCCCGCGTTCCCAGTGGGGAGGTCTTTGTCTTTATCCATTGGGTTTTTAGGTCAAAAGCCTGGCCCCTTTCCCCTCTCCCTCCCCAGGGTCCGGCCCCCACCCAGGCGGTTCCCTGGCAGCCGGAGGCCCTTCAGTGTGGAGTTGCCCTTCATAGCAGCAACCATCTCAGGCAGAAATTGGGCTGGGCGCTTCTCAAACAGACGGCAGAAGGAGAAGGTAATCTCTGTCAAGAAAAATTATAGTAAATTCTGATGGCCACATTGGGACTGGTGCTGCCCCTCCTGCCCCAGTTGGCCCTAGCAAGGGGTATGAACATTATAGAGGCCCAAAAAGAGAAAGGAATTTGTCTAGGACTCAAGCAAGGCTGGAACTAAATCAGAATCCAAACCGAAGACTGAACCTAAATGTTCACTATAAGGAGGTTTTCTGCATAGACAATTCTCCATTTATTTCCTTCTTTCCTGGTCACTGACCACCCTCTATGCAGGGGTGGGGGTCAGAGAAAAGTCTGTGAGAGCCTGGCCTAGTACATTTATTTTGCCCCCCTCACCATTTTGTCCACCTCTGAAAGGTAAGAGAAACTTGGATGAGGTACTCTAAAAGAGCAATTTCTCATGTTTAGTAGAGGAGGAGTTGACGTTGGGGCTTTTAGAAGGAAAGTCATGCAGTTTCTATATTTTATAGTTGAGGACACAGGCCAAGAAAGGAACAGTTGTTTGCTCATTCAGATGATGGCAGAACCACAGTGAAGACCCAGGAAATGTCTGCGTTCTGAATGAAGAACTTACCTTGCAGAGTCAGATTCTGTAGCAAAAAGAGCACCTCGCTCTGACAGTCAGCCAGATTCATGTCATGGAAACTCAGTCTTTTCAGGGCTAGGTTGTACTCTGGATAGGAGGCAGAGACCATGGACCATGGACTTTAGTTTTCCCAGAGAATAATGTTAGGTCCCCACCTACTCCTCCTCTCCCTTCACCATTCTGGCTGGGTCCTACCTTTGAGTGTTTGCAAAACAAGCCCAAAATCCTGGGGAGAGGCAAAGGTGGCACTATCCAGGGACAGCTGCTGCAGAGAACCCGAGGCCTTCAGTACGGAGCAGAGCAGTGGAGCTGGCTGGGCTCCCCGTGGAAATCCCATCTCCAACTGCTCCAGGCAGTTTTCTGGATATGGTGGGGAAAGAAGATTCCAGCTGGCCATTTCTACCTCACTCCCATAGCAAGTCCCATGCTATTCTTAAGGGATTCATCTCAAAAATTATTTATTCATTCATTTGTCCTTGAGTGCCTACCGTATGTCAGGCACTGTGCTAGATTCTGGGAATTCAGCACTAAATAATGAGATTTAGTCCTTGCCCTTGAACTTTTAGACCAGGAAGACAGGCTACTCAGACACAAGCAAAGTAAGCAGAGTGGTGGGAGTGGGGACACAAGAACTAAGGGAACACAGAGCAGGGGAAGTAATCCAGTCTAAAGGTCAGTTCTTTTCCTTTTCTGGAAACCAGGCTGCCTTGGTCACTCTACTGATCTTATGGTGGTCTAGCCCCTCCCTGTCTAGCCCAACAGTATCTTAGTGGCAGACTCTAAAGGGGGAACAGTTTCCAGATAAGCCAGGAATGCGTGGTAGAGGAGGTCCTTCCCCTTTCCCCGTACAAATGCACCTCCACGTTTGTGTAGGGATGCACATGCGCGCACATGCACACACACACACACAGTGCTTCAACTGGTACGGTCCTTCCCCTTTCCCTGTACGAATGCACCTGCACGTTTGTGTAGGGATATACATGCGCATGCATACACACACACACACACAGTGCTTCACCTGGTATCTCCTCATCCCCTATTATGTGGCTAGGGGGCCCTGCATTCCCTGGCACACCAGGATTGTCCCGCTGGCTTGGGTGGTCAACACGAATAGAGAGGACCCGTAGCAGGGGCAGTGCTCGTACGATGGCACGCGTCAGCTCCAGGATGGGTAGTGGTGAGAACAGGTCACTGAGATGCAGGGCACGGAGGCGACATCCAGACTGGCCTGACAGGGCCCGCAGACTGTCTAGCAGGCGGAAGATGTTAGAGCCCAGACCTATGGCAGTAAAGAGATTAAATCAGAACCATGTGGGAGTGTCAGCAGGGGTAATATATTCAAATACAACTCTACTTTTGGTTACTATCAAATCTCTTGGGCTTTGGCTCAGCTTATTTAAACCCATTTGTCTTAACTACTCATCTATGTCTTGCTTTTTTCTTAGGTAACCAGCAAACTGATGTCTGCTGTTTTGGGCTATGCCCACAAGAAGCATCAGTCAGGGCAGAGTCACAAAATTTAGAAGATAACAGTATGGTGAGGCAGCATGTGGCTACCAGCTGAATGACAGGCCCAGACAGTAGCAGGTCTCTGGATTTCTGGGTTCTGAGTAGTTTTCTGAAGAAACTGGCCTTGAAGGAAGTAAGTTTTGGATAGAGGGAGAAGACATAGTCGAGTCACAGTGAGCTGGGAGTGGGGGCTCACACCTGTAATCCCAGCACTTTGGCAGGCCAAGGTGGGCAGATTACCTGAGGCCAGGAGTTTGAGACCAGCCTGGCCAACATGGTGAAACCCTGTCTCTACTAAAAATACAAAAATTAACTGGGTATGATGGCACACGCCTGTAGTCCCAGCTACTCAGGAGGCTGAGGCAGAAGAATCGCTTGAACCCAGGAGATGGAGGTTGCAGTGAGCCAAGATCACGCCACTGTACTCCAGCCTGGGTGATACAGCAAGACTCTTGTCTCAAAAAAAAAAAAAAAAGTTGCAGCTAGGAGAGTGCAAGGCCTGAATGGGATGCTTGCTTGTCTGGCTACGTGGGGCTCAGGAAACTGCTCTAGAGGACAGGGCGTTGAAGGCCACATTATGGAAAGGCGGCGGGATGTTTTAATTTCCTATAGGCCATAGAGAGCCTAAAAACTATGGGGAATGACAATGACCCAATAGGGAATACTTTAAAATAATTAATGGGTGGGAATGGGGCAGAAAAAGATAACCAAATCCCACAGGATGGACTAGGGTCCAGGAAGGTTAGAGTAGTTGCTTAATGCCACAGGCAAATAATTCCTTGGACTATGCGGGCTCCTATTGATTCACTCATTCAGCTAAACTACCCAGTGCCTACTAAATATCGTTTTTTGCTAGACACTAGTGAGCAGCACACTGGTTTTTTTTTAGCTCGATAATGCAAAGGATGGGTACCTAGTCCCGATTACATTAGTAAAGGCACTCCAGCTGAGTCCTAAAGAACATAAAGGAGACAGGCCAAAATTTAGGACGGATGATTGTGGCAGAGGAAACCTGGCATATGTAGAGGCCTGAGGGAGAACAAAAAAATTTCATAATGGCTGGTGTGAAAGTGTGAAGGGGGAAGGATTCAAAATACAACTATAGGCCAGACGTGGTGGCTCACACCTGTAATCCCAGCACTTTGGGAGGCTGAGGTAGGCGAATCATCTGAGGTCAGAAGCTTGAGACCAGCCTGGCCAATATGGTGTAACCCTGTCTCTAATAAAAATACAAACATTAGCTAGGCATGGTGGTGTGCGCCTGTAATCCCAGCTACTGAGGCAGTACCCAGGAGGGGGAGGTTGCACGGAGCTGCGATCTCGCCATCACACTCCAGCCTGGGTGACAGAATAAGACTCCATGTCAAAGACAACTATAGAGGTAACCAGGAGTGAGAACATGAATGACCCATAAGTAAAATTAAGCAGTATGGTGAGAGGAAGCCATTGAAAGGTGTTTGCATGAATGAATGACAGGGTCAGACCACATTTTTTAAAGAATACACGGGCTGCAGTGCAGACAGTGGATTGTATGGCAAGAGTAAGCAGTCTGGAAGAACTGCTGAAATGAGTTCAGGTAGGGAATAATAGTTTGAATTAAGGACGTGGAGATAGAGAAATAAATGAATTTAACAAGTTGTAAAGATAGGGCTGGGTGTAGTAGCTTATGACTATTATCTCGGCACTAGGAGGCTGAGGTGGGCAGGCCACTTGAGGCCAGAAGTTGGAGACCAGCCCGGCCAACACAGGGAAACCCTGTGCCTCCTAAAAATACAAAAAAACTAGCGTGGTGTGGTGGTGCATGCCTGTAGTTCTGGGTGGTTGAGTGGCTGAGGCATGAGAATCGCTTGAACCCAGAAGGTAGAGGTTGCAGTGAGCTGAGATCGCACCACTGGACTCCAGCCTGGGTGACAGCAACACTTTGTCTCAAAAAAGGAAAAAAAAGAAAACATAAAGATAGGACCTCATGAGCACATGTATGGAGTAAGACAGAATACAGGTTTCTTTGGGCAAGTGAGTAAGCTGATGTCACTGGGAACAGAAGGATTAGTATAGTGTGAAGGTGCATTCAAGTTGGATGTAATGAATTGTCGGGGGGCCTTATGGGTTATGAAGTGGTTATGTCTATTAGCTGGATAAATTAGTCTGGAAGTTCAAGAGAAAGATCTGGGGTAATGTCACATAAGTCTTTAGCACAGTTGACCTTTGAAACCACAGAAATTGATGAAACTGTCCAGGAAGAATGCATGAAGTGCGAAAGCTCTGAGGAACTCTGAATAAGCAGGAGAAAACTTTTTTTTTTTTTTTGAGATGGAGTCTCACTCTGTTGCCCAGGCTACAGTGCAGTGGCATGATCTCAGTTCACTGCAAACTCCACCTCCCGGGTTCAAGCAATTCTCTGCCTTAGCCACCCAAGTAGCTGGGATTACAGGTGCCCGCCATCACGCCTGGCTAATTTTTTGTATTTTTAGCAGAGACAGGGTGTCGCCATCTTGGCCAGGCTGGTCTTGAATTCCTGACCTCGTGATCCAACCGCCTTAGCCAAGTGCTGGGATTACAAGTGTGAGCCACTGCGCCCAGCCAAGAAAATATTTTTTAAGGTTGTGAAAAAAATAAAATTTCATAGCACTAAATGCTGCCAAGAAGTTACTGAAAAGTATACATTGGACTGAGTAACAAGGAGGACCTTGGTGACCTAGGTCCTTGCCAATGCAGTGGTAGGAGTATGAGGCTGGAAGGGGCTGTGAGACAAGTGGAAACAGTACAGATAACTAAGGTTGTAAAGAACAGGCGATAATAGAGCAGTTTGTTAATATGCCACATAGGGAGGTGGTGGTGGCAGTTTTTGGTGGAGACCTGTTAAAATGATGGTAGGAGAGAGTGGAAAGGAGGGGTAGTATAAACTGGTTTGAAAGCATGGATCTGCAGTCTGGTTGCCTGGTTTGAATCCTGGCTGTATAATTGCTAGGTTACCCTGAGGAAATCACTTGCCCTCATAGGGTTTTAAGGATTAAATTATTAGATTGAATTATCAAGAATAGTTAAAATATACCAGACACATACTAAGCAGTATATAAAAATTATCAGTTTGAGAAGCAAGCTTCCCTAAGAAATTGGGATGCTTGTTTCTCAAACTGATAATTCTTATATACTTCATTGTGAAGCTCTATGCATCTAGAGCACAGGTGGGAGAATTAGCTTTAGAAAGGATGGTGATCTCTTCCATTCTGGTGAAGAAGGATGAGTGCAGTTGAAGGAGAGTTTATAGGCTGCTTAGCAAGCTGAAGAAACTCATGTGATGGCTTCTATTTTCTCTGTGAAGTAGGTGAGGTCATCCCTGAGAAGGGAAAAGGAGGAAGGGTTTGGAAGTGGTAGGAATGGGAGCTGATGTTACAAGCATAGTGAGGGTTCATATGAGGTTAATGATCATGAATGTATAGTAACACTAATTTGCATAGTTGTATGATTTTTCTCTAGCAGTACTCAGCAACCTAGGCAGATTGCTGGATTTAGCCAGAGTTGAGGTTTTCCTAGCTGGGCACAAGTAGGAGGGAAATGGGGACTGAGGATTGCTTTCAGGTTGTTGGTCTGATAAATTGTGTCCCACACCCAGTCTGGACAGCTGCTCTGATATGACTGGTAAGGTGGTGAGGTCAAACTCTAGCCCTGCCTGGGCATGCATGTACTATACTTCTCCCACCTGCCCTTGGATTGCCTTCTGTATCTAAACTGTATTCATTCTTCAGATTCCAGCTGGCTGGTCTCATTGCCCCCTCAGGAACCCCTGCTCTCAACAATTAAGCCTATAGACTATGTTCCTCTCTTGCAGCACTGACAGTCTCCCCTTCTGTGAGGCATACAAGTCTACCTCTCCAGCTTCCTGATCATACACCCAATTTGTTCCTCCCACCTCCCCAGAATTAGGCACGGAGCTAGTGCTGCTGGGGAATCCAAACCCAATCCCTGCCACTCCAGGATGCTCACCATTGTAGGAGAGTGTGAGGCTCTCCAGTGACACCCAGGAGCTCAGCAGGTGGCATAGTGTCAGGGCTGCCTCTGTGGAAAGTGGAACTGTGAATAGCTCCAAGGTGGAGATGCTGCGGAATCGTTGTGAAGCTTCCAGTGCTGGAAGCCCCAGGCAGCTGGGATCTGATCCATCCAGAGCTCCACAAGCCACTTCCCCAATCTCCATCTCTTCACCATCCTCCTTCTCACCAGCCACAATAAAAACAAAGTCATACAGGTCTTCAGACTCTGTACCAGGCCCCTGACGGGCGCGAGCACCCTTCTTCCCTGCAGCTCGTTTGAAACGCTTTAGGGGCTTAGGCTGTGGGGCTGAGCTAGCTGGTGCCCGTTTGTATGAGGATGTAGAAGAAGAGGCAGAGGAGGTGGCTGCTGGAGCAGGGGGTGGCCGCTTGGTGCCAGGAGCCTCATGGGAGGTGGCTGGCGGGTGCAGCTCCCTCTTAAGGTCTGTTCCGCCTGCTATCAGGCTCTCCTGTGCGCTCCGGCGTGTTACCCGAGTGGCAGGTGCAGCTCTGGGCATCTGCTTGGCTTCACTCTTACGCCGGCTGGCCATCAGGGCTGCAGCACATCGCTCAGCGGCATCCCGGCGAGGCCGGCGTGAGCCCAATAAGAGGGACCCTTCATCTCGGGATGGGGCCCGGCCTCGAGAGGCCTCTCCACAGAGGCGGCAGGGTGGGCCACCAGGCCCTGGTTGCCAGAAGCCAGCACTCATGGTGAGAATAAGGATGAAAAGGGCTGACTCAGGCACAGGCCAGGAGTATAGTGACACTTGACTGACAGCCCCATGGTGAATGAGCTGATGCAACAGCTGCCGAAGTGACTGCTGCGCAGCCACATCAGAGAACAGCAGGTGGCGGAACTTGAGAGTGTGCAGGGAGCTGGCCAGTGTCTCCAGAACTCTGCGGTTGGGCTCAGCTACCAGCTCGGTTGCACCCTGCAGCATGTTACAGATGGTGAGCTGTCGGACATGGCGGGAGCTGTGCAGAAGAGGTGAGAAGCGCTGATCACAAAGACGCCTGTCAGAAGACACATCAATGGTCCCACGTAGAACATGGGAAAAAAAGGCCTCCATAAACTTAGCTCGCCAACAGGTCACACTCTGAAAAGCAGAAAACATGCCAGACACCAATGATATATCCATGAAACTGTCTGAATTTCCCCCTCTTCGAATAGCAAATTACTGAGTCAGGCAACACTCTAAACAAATTCATTTAATCTTCACATCTCTGAGGTATGTATTACTAGCCCTATTTCACAGGTAAAACCGAGATGCAAAGAGGATATCATCCGTGGTCACACAGGTAAATGGTTGGCTCATTTGAACCCAGGAAATCTGGTTCCAGAGACCATGATTTTACTATAGCATCTCAACTGAAATACTCACCCCTGTAAGTTCTTCTGTGTTTGTTTCTAGAACCTTATCCCAATTTTGTTTTCTTTCTTTTTTTTTTTTAAGACAGAGTCTCACTTTGTAGCCAAGGCTGGAGTGCAGTGGTGTGATCTCGGCTCACTGCAACCTCTGCCTCCCAGGTTCAAGTGATTCTCCTGCCTCATCCTCTGGAAAAGCTGGGATTACAGGCACCCGCCACCACAACCAGCTAATTTTTGTAATTTTTGTTTAGTAGAGGTGGGTTTCACCACGTTGGCCAGGCTGGTCTCAAATTTCAGACCTCAAGTGATCTACCTGCCTCGGCCTCCCAAAGTGCTGGGATTACAGGTGTGAGCCACTGTGCTTGGCCCCCCATACCAACTTCCACCAGCCCCCTGTCACCTCACACCTGATTACTTCATTAGCATCCTGATTGCTCTCCCTGTTCCCTATCCCAGACTACTTTGTGCAGGCTGGCTGGATTCATCTTTGTTAAACACTACTTTGATTACATCATACTGCTTTAGAACACCTGATGTCGGGCCAGGCGCGGTGGCTCACGCCTGTAATCCCAGCACTTTGGGAGGCTGAGGCGGGTGGATCACAAGGTCAAGAGATCGAGACCATCCTGGCCAACATGGTGAAACCCCGTCTCTACTAAAAAAAAATACAAAAAATCAGCTGGGCATGGTGGCACGTGCCTGTAATCCCAGCTACTCAGGAGGCTGAGGCAGGAGAATTGCCTGAACCCAGGAGGCGGAGGCTGCGGTGAGCCGAGATCGCGCCATTGCACTCCAGCCTGGGTAATGAGAGCGAAACTCTGTCTCAAAAAAAAAAAAAATAAATAAAACACCTGATGTCTCCCTACTGGCCTTCCACCCTATAGCCTCTGCCCGAGAAGCTTTATTTCCCACATCTTGCTTATGAGAATGCTTTGCTGTAGCCAAAGTGGTCACCCACAGACCCAAACGTGCCTATGTCCTTTCCTATATCTACCAGAAATGTAGAAATGTAGTCCATTGCTGGACTAGACTTCCTGAAAGGACTCAGAAACATGTCATTTGAAACTGTCTCTTGTTGGGACTCCTGTGACACTCTGACTACTCAAGACTAAGATGCCAGTACACTGTCTCAAGGTGTTGAGTCTCTTTGCCTGTACATATTATCCCAGCCAGATTAGAAATTCTTAGAAAGCAGGAACCATATCTTGATTTGTTTCTTCCAAGGCAACAGTTATTTGAGGGATAGGAAATCCCATCAGACTATTCTGCACTTGATCTTAGCCAAAAGGCCGAGAAGCGATTCATCGGACTATTCTGATGTGTTTAGTATAACTCTGAATGCAAGTGATTTTCAGCCTTTAGTGCACATCAGAATTCCCTGTGGTGCTTTTTTCCCCAGACATCCAGACTTGGTGATTTTGTTATATCTGAGGTAAGGTCCAGGCATCTCTATTGTTTGAACCATCCCCACGTGATTCTGATGTACATCAGAGGTTAGGAATTAACTGCTACCTAATCTAGAAAGGCATAATGGGACAAAGACAGGTACCAGACCCCAAAGTTTCTAATTTAAGATGATCCCTATGTCATCTCAGGGGCAGTAGAAAGTCAGGTCCCAGCTCTGTCAATATACTCTGGACTTCTCTGAACCTCTTATCTGCAAAATGTGGATAATCTGCTTCACAGGATTGTTGTGAAGATCAAAATGAAGTAGTACAAATTAAAGCACTTTGTAAAATATAAAAAATGTTACTGCTGCTGCCACTGCTAATATTAGCCTGGATGAGGTGTGAAATGGAGGCAGAGCCTGTTAAGCATGATGTTCATTCAGCCTAAAGCCAAGGCTGTGGGGCCTGAAGTTCCCCAACATTTCTTTGGTCCTTGCCCTGCCTCAATGCATTCCTCCATACTGCAATGACCCTCAGTACCTATTTGAGGTTCTTAGAAGGAACTAGGCCCCTGCTGTCCTCAAGCAAGTGTCATTCCTGTTTCCTTGGCTATTTCCCCAGACTCTGCCTGCTGTGGTAATAATTAGGAATGACTTCTTGCTTGAAATAACTGCAGAGCAGCAACACAGAAAGGCCTCGCTAATCAGCAGCAGGACATTACGAGTAGGAAAAACAGTATCTGGCAACCAAATCTCTGCTCAGCTTTGAGTGAAGGCAAAGAAGGTATCCTTTGGTCCTACCTTACACTAGCACTTTTCCTACGGATTTGCTGGCCCACACCCAGTCTTGAAAAACACTTGCAGGTAACCTTAGCAAGGCTTCAGCTTTATAAGTGAAGCTAGCCAAATGGTTATAATATCTGGGCCTAAAATATAGACAAAGATGGTGAGCCAAGATATTGTGGCTGTTTCTGGGTATAGGAGGCATAGGGGAAATGTAGGTTAAATAGGTAAATGCTGGACTTTTTCAGATATGTTAATGGTTGATGAAGACCATGGGAGACAGAATATTTGGAACACCCCAGACACAACTGCAGTGAGCCATGAGACAGTAATCAGAAACATGCATTCCAGAAGTAGGCTGCTTCAACTTGAATCTGGTTCTGCAATTCACTAACTTAGCAAAGTCTTTCTGCCTTAGTTTCATCATCTATAAAGTGGAAGATTACTAACATAGCATTTTTGTGACAGTTAAATGAGTATGTAAAGTTATGACAGCTCTCAGTGGTTTCTCACAAATTAACGTATCAGCAAACAGAAGATCACAAAGTTTTATTCCATCACCACTCTTAAGAATCTGTGCTAACATTCAAAGCTGACAGATGTTTGAGATCTAGTCTAAACCACTCATTTTTTGGTCTTGTATGATATCACAATGCAAAGTGATTTAGTACTTCATTTTCTGTTAGGGTAAGGGAAATGAGGCATGATCAGTAAAGTGACATCTGCCCACCAACACAATCCTTGGCCCATCCTCAATTGGCTAGTAGGGGAAGAGGAATTGTGCACACCAGGTAGGGAAGGTTAAACATCTTGTACTAACTTGTTAGAGCCAACAATATTCAAAACCTATATGATGTCCATTGTTTTCCTGATACCAGAAATGCTGTGTGTGGATAGAGAAGCAAATGAAAAATCATGGGCCAGGCATGGTGACTCATGCATGTAATCCCAGCACTTGGGGAGGCCAAGGTGGACAGATTGCTTGAGTCCATGAGTTTGAGACCAGCCTGGGCAACATGGCAAAACCCCATCTCTACTAACAATAGAAAAAATTAGCCGGGCAATTTTTAGTGGTGCACACCTGTAATCCAGCTACTTAGGAGGCTGAGATGGGAGGACAGCCTGGGCAACTGGAGTGAGACCATCTCAAAAAAAAGTATAAGCCAACTCTGGAGTATTTACGTATATGTGAGGTAGCCATATATATATATATATATATATATATATATATGTGACAACATTGAGATAATTCTCAACAGTTTCAAGTGCTGGGCTTTTAAAACATACCACGTATTCAAATATTTTTAGAATATTTTATTTTGAAAATGTGTACCATGTTTAATTGCTGTATTGAATATTTCCATTGTTTCTAGCTTTTATTATTATTATTTTTGGAGACGGAGTTTCTCTGTCGCCCTGGCCTGGGCTGTAGTGCAGTGACATTATATCAGCTTGCTGCAACCTCTGCCTCCCAGATTCAAGCAATTCTCGTACCTTAGCCTCCCAAGTAGCTAGGACTACAGGCACATACCCCATGCCTGGCTAATTTTTTTGTATTTTTTAGTAGAGATGGGGTTTTGCCACGTTGGTGAGGCTAGTCTCAAACTCCTGACTTCAAGTGATCTACCCACCTTAGCCTCCCAAACTGCTGGGATTACAGGCATGAGCTACCACACCTGGCCTGTTACTAGGTTTTAATGTTTGGATTTTTTTTTTTTCTTGAGACATTCTTGCTCTGTTGCCCAGACTAGAGTACAGTGGCATGATCTCCGCTCACTGCAACTGCCACCTTCCAGGCTCAAGCTATTCTCCTGCCTCAGCCTCCCAAGTAGCTGGGATTATAGACATGCACCACCACACCCAGCTAAATTTTGTACTTTTGGTAGAGACGGGGTTTCGCCATGTTGGCCAGGCTGGTCTTGAACTCCTGACCTCAGGTGATCCACCTGCCTTGGCCTCCCAAAGTGCCGGGATTACAGGTGTGAGCCACTGTGCCTGACCCTGTTTTTAGCTTTTTGATATTAAACTCTTCTGTAATAAACATCTGGAAATAAATCTTCATGAGTATCTCAATTTTTATATACTATAAATTCTAAGATGTAGAATTTCTAGACAAATTATTTTTTTTTTTCTTGGAGACGGAGTTTCGCTCTTGTTACCCAGGCTGGAGTGCAATGGCACGATCTCGGCTCACCGCAACCTCCGCCTCCTGGGTTCAGGCAATTCTCCTGCCTCAGCCTCCTGAGTAGCTGGGATTACAGGCACGCGCCACCATGCGCAGCTAATTTTTTGTAGTTTTAATAGAGACGGGGTTTCACCATATTGACCAGGATGGTCTCGATCTCTTGACCTCGTGATCCACCTGCCTCGGCCTCCCAAAGTGCTGGGATTACAGGCTTGAGCCACCGCGCCCGGCCTGAAAAATTATTTTTTTAAGAGACAGGGTCTTGCCCCATCACCCAGGGCTGCAGTGCAGTGGTGAGATCATATACTGGAACTCCTGGACTCATGCAATCCTCTTGCTTCAGCCTAGCAAGTAGCAGGGAGGACTATAGACG